GGGGGGGGGGGTGAGGGAACAGTAGAGCGATTCACAGATATAAAAGACAAACACAATCGCAGAGAAAAGGTAAGCTGAGTACTGTGTAAATCGTCGAATATAACATATAGTGGGGTGATGGCAGTTTGAAGTGAGATATCAACTGCCGTAGAGTATACGCTGTCCAGGGTGCACCACGAGGAGGTAATAACACCAAATAAAATTACTTAATATTGTCAAGAAAAAATATCAGAGATGAGAATATTTTAGCCATAAAGTACATCACAATTTCACAGATAGACAGAACTACGTGAAAAATAAAATGCTCATTACAAGCAAAATTACTACAAAAGGAAACAAAGCATCAAAGACAAATTATAGTACGTTGTTCGAAAACAATTACCAAAGGGTAAGTAATGATTACAAATTGGCAGAAAGAAAACATACACGATGAATTTATGATTTGACACATTGTCTATCCAGAAAATAAGATCCAACCCCATCAAGCTTTAAGAGTTCGTCAGTTAATATTGCAACTATTACTTGCCGAACTAGATGGCACCAATAAAAGCCTGATCTCCAAGAATAAGAAGAAATAGAAAACAAATAATAAAAAATAATTAGAAAATAAATAATTTTAGAAGACTTATTAAAAATCTCGAAGACAGAATTTAGCCTCTAATCTCATATAGAGAAATGGCTGAGGGCTGAAATTTTTTGAAGGGTGTATAAGAAAATCACACTCACCGCTTTTTACGAAGTTTAGCGACTGCATCCTCTCTGAATATGACTTTTTTGTCCGCGCTAGAGATATCGTTCGAACCTCTAATAATGAAGAAATATGTTCCACCGGGAGTACGTAGACGCTCACCATCCTATATTTGAAAGATAGAAATTAACTTTAATATTGAAATATTTGAAACACTTACCGCTGTCGGCAATCCACCAAGATTTTCAATATCTTCGGTTAAATAACAAAACTCCAACGCTCGTTTAACACCAAGAGTTTGGACTATCTTATCTGAAGTAAAAGACAAAATATAAATGAAAATAGTTGATAATTAAATGTACCAACTAAATCCACACGTTGTTCTCCTAGGAAATCGACTATTGCTTTCGTAACCTCTTCCGGCGAACTTTCAAAGTTAACACCATAATGACTACGGGAAATAGACGTGTCATAACTACGAGGTGGAAATGCATCCTTTCTATTACGCTTTCTATTTGGCTTGGTTTGCACAATGACAGAATCCGTATGATCCGAGTCGATATCGCATATATTAAATCCATAACTTTCTTCACCACGTTCAACAGAAACTTCCTTCTTCTACAACAAAATTATAATACTTATTGACATACCAAATCAATGTCTGCACATTTAAACGCATTTTCAAGGGTATTTTCGTATAAAACTGATTGCCAGATATTGTTTTTATGCTTCTTGTTCTGTGACCGAGATTCAGGAGAAATTCGCCCTTATTAAAATGTTTTATTTTTATTAAGAGAAACAAACTAATTATTTTTGGTGGCAGCTCGTCATCGCTGCTCGAGGAAGACGCTTCTGCATTGAAAATACAGCGAGACATAGAAAAACAACGCGAAATGGCGAGCAATTTGGAAATGGCGCGAAATCAATAAAACTTTCAATACCGCAATACATATACCATATAAAAGATTGCAATTTATCAAACACTATTAAATTTTAGCTGTTCAATTTAGAAATGTTTATTCTTATTAATAATTATTTGTTTCTACTAATGGAACTATTTAATTTCAAGGCCACTTCCACACTGTACCATCCGAAACACTGCATCGCCTTATGGCCTCTTTTGAAAAATTTCAATTCGACTTACATCCCCGATTTTAAATTATGATGGAAACTACCGGGTCAGAAAAAATGACTAGGGAAAAATACCTCGCCATTTTAGGTTAGTGCTATCTAAGTCCTAGTTTTATACATTATAGAAGGAAATCTTGCACGAATAAGGAATCCAAAGAATCCTACCTCTGTTGATCTTGTTAAAAGTATCAGCGGCATGAAATCAGTAGTCCTACACGACGTGCTTTCAAATTCAGAAAACAACTACCTGACTGACATTTCAACTGAGGAAACAGACCCACTCGTATATTCTGACCTTCTTGACAACATACACAATACCATTTCAAATGCGGAATAACAATTTGTGGAGTGTCTTTACATTAAATATAGATAAAAAGCAAGACTCAAAATTGTACAATTAATTTTTTATGCCTGAGAGTCTTCCCCGGCTGTGCCTTGTACTTTTACGATCGCATTCAGGACAGAGGATGACATAGCGTTGTGGAATGCGAATTGAAGGAGCGTAGCCATCGGGATAACTAGGGTCCTCAAAGTATAGCGAATAGTCGTCATGGGCCTAAAAGGAGAAAAGAATGCCGTACACCTGAGAACTATAAAATTAAAGAGGATAAAATTGACATACATGCACTGGATGGGTATCTACAACAGCTCGGTAGAAGCAGGTCGTTTGAGGGTACAGTGCAAGGACCAACTAAAATTAAAATGGAGCACCTAACATGTAATCGGCATTCAAATTTACACCGATCATCAATAAAAGGGTTAAAGTAAAACTGTAAAGGAAAAACATGTCCATTAAAAAATAACACCAATTGATACATTTCGTTGCATAAATAGCTAGCGAGTCTCTACTCGTGAAAAAAAACCAGGGAACATGAGAGGAAAAATGTCTTACAGTTCCTTTACGAAAAATAGCTTCAGGGTTTAAGATTGGATTTGCTTTCCACTTGGGGAGTAAGATCACCTTGGAACGATCTAGAGTATAACGTCTGAAAAAAAACGGTAAACGGAAATTATGACGAAATAGTCAGTTATCGCAAAATGCGAACCACGCCAGTGAGCACTCAAAAGAAAAATGTTAGACAAAAGAAGGAAAACAAAAGTTAGGCGGCGCAGGCATAAAGTTACTTGTCGTCTCTAAAGAATGAAGCAGAAAAAAGGAGAATTCAATAACTAAATTTTTATTAAAAAAACTGAAAGCGATGAATCGATTGCGGCAATGCTAAATGTAATCAAATCATATTCACTTACTTTGGACTGAATAATTGAAATAGAGTACAAAAGCAGTAAATGTAGACAGAATATTGAAAATCAGCAGAGAAGTAAGAGACTTACACTTTGCCCTCCTCAGCGTCAACATCTTCAACCTGAAAATTTTTTTTTTCTCGCGAAAAAGATATCACTTCGGCCAAAATCCAACTTTCATTAGGAACAAATTCCGCATCAGGACAATCCAAGTCAGGTACGAGGGCAGCGACATAATCGCCAGAAGCAACCAAACTGCTGTCTAGGTTATTAGGAGCTCCAATTGCACCGCAAAGTGGTGGGGGACTGCAAAATTCCATAAAGACAAGTAACATGAGACTCACCTCTGACCGACAATACCAGCCCACATTGGAATCGATTTTGCACTTTCTTGAAGCAGAGACATAAGAACACCTCGTCGCATATTCTTCGGTCCTTTTATCAATTCTGAAATAGTTTATATAACAATATGTATATCATTCTCACTTATTTTATTTTCAATGGACTGTATTTCTAAAATTTTGCCTTGGGCTTTAAGAAGAATTCTATGAACCTTATTAGCAAACTTAAATAAAATTTATTTACTTTTGGAGAGATTCAGCTTCATTAAAAACTTCTTGCAATCTTTTAGTCAATCGTTTCTTTTGTTCGGCAATGTATTTGGGCTTGTGGGTTTTGGCTTGACTCCAGTCAACTGTTAGAACCATAGAAGAACAGTTTCGTTCGGCTTCCTAAAAGGTTAGAGGTATTTGTTCCACATGCCACAGTTTCTTTGCATATTTTTTTCAGCTCCTCCATCTTTTCGATTAGTTCCTTCTCCATTGATGAATTAACACCCAAAGCAAAACTTCAAATTCACCTAGAAACTCTGACCAATGGGATTTTAGAGCAATTTAATGAGCTCAAGGTTATTTTTCATGAAATTTAGCACTTGATCACTGTTTCACTTTTAGAGTAAACCGAGCATTATTTTAAATTAAAATAAACGCTATTATTCATTTAAAGTTTTGAAAACTTTAAATATCTTTTGACTTAGTTATATCCACTGCTGATCCTTTCAAGGACGTTCAACTTACCGAACACCCTACTGCTTGTCTTTTTAAAATTATGGCTGCACGTGTTTCTAGTTTTCTTATGCATAATTTACACGTATTTATTCATATCTCGTTGTGATACGCTTTTGATGCCCTGGTCTTTTTTGTTTGCATTATAAACGTACACCATGTTAATGTTTATTGTATTTTCTGAATTTTATTCAGTCTCTTTTCGTTGTTCTCAACGTTATAGTCTATTCGATGAAAATAGTTAAATTCAACGGTGAGCTATTAACCAAGACTCTTAATGAAATTCTCAATGTTGCTGAATTACGTGGAATTCAATGGAATCGCTTTAAAGAGTTGAATAAACTTCTCAAGGGCTTTAGAAGTCACGAAATGACAGTTCTCTCAGGAAAGACTGGAGTCGGAAAGACCACTTTTGCTTGTGAATACTCTCTTGATTTAGCCGAGCAGGGTGTTCGAACTCTTTGGGGCAGTTTCGAGATGCCGCTTCCTCGAATTTGTCGTACGCTCTTACATCAATATGCCGGGTAGGTTGAAACATTTTTCCCCGTCTTTAAGACGATTTCATCCTGATTTGCTATAAGTGCTATTTCGGCTAGCTTTTTAATGCAATGTACCACTCTATGATGCTTCTTCTGTAATTGCGTATAATAGCATAAACTCCGTAATTTCATCCGGTTAGGTTATAATAAATTCTTTGTCTAAAGGTATTTCCTTTTTTAACTTAGAATACATCATAAATAGATATAACTACCACCTGATCGTAATTTTGTCTTCCAGTGAGCCTCTACATTCCCAGCCACCAATCAGAGTTGCTGCCTGGGCAACAGCCTTTCAACAGGAACTACCCATGCTCTTCCTCAATATGCATGGAAGACCTTCTGAAAAAGAGGTCTTCGATGTGAGTCCTATCCTCTGTTTTCTTGTTTTTAATTTCTTCTTTTGGTTGGTACCATTGGCACTGTTGTTACACTATCAATGACTACTATGTCTGTTTTCACACGTTTAGTTCCTTGAGTGCTTCCATGTCGTCCCCTCCCTGTCCTCAGTTTTCCTTGATTCAAATTTCTCGTGATTTTCAGGCATAAAGAACGCTCCCAGTATTCTGCTACCTTAAAGTAGGTCGAAGTGATCAAGGTTCACTCCAATGCCCAAATTTTGATGGATAATCTGGACATATGTATTAATCACCTCTTATCTGCTTTAAGTTAATTTATATTTACGGTGTTCGCGTTTCTGTCCACTTTGGAGGGCTGGCTTTTGGGCTTTATAACTGAGTAATATCTAATTTGGAGATGTTATGGCTATGTGACGGTAGATTGGTGGGAAGCTTCGCTTCTGAGCTGTGATAGAGACGACTTACAGCGATGTTCAGCCACCATCGCTTGATCATCTCAAAATTATTTGATACTGTTTTTGAATTTCAGTAGGAGGATCTGTTTGTTGGTTCAAATGGGTGTAATAAAAGTTATTCCCAAGGTTGTCACCAAAGTTATTTTGTTTGGATGATGATTTTGAGATCGGTTGAAATAAGGTTCCCTTCATTACCTCTTAAATTTGATTCATCATTTTCTTCATTTTTGCTTAGATGTTCCTCTAAAATCACTTTTGTGTTTCCATAGGAGAGAGAGATAAATGAATTTATTTTGCTCTGGATTATAGGCATATCCATATTCACTTCGCCAAGAAATGCCGATAATTTTGCATAAAAATATGAATGATTTCCTTTGTAGGCATTAGAAGAAAGCGTAAAAGAGGAGGGAGTAGAGCATGTAATCCTGGATAACCTCCAATTCATGATGGGCTGTGGTGGGATGGGAGGTCGAGGTGGTATGGAGGAGAAGTTCACTCGACAGGATCGTTTTGTGGAGCGTCTCCGTGCCTTTTCCACGGATTCCGGCGCTCATCTAACCCTCGTTGTGCACCCAAGAAAAGTGGAGGACGATCATCTCCTCAGTATCGCCTCACTCTATGGTGGGGGTAAAATTAGTCAAGAGGCGGACAATATCATGCTTGTGCAGGAAGAAGTTGGTACAGCTGTCCCAAAAAGATATCTTCAAGTGCGCCGTGCTACTTATTTTAAAACAGTAGACATATTTTTAATTGGTTGACCCCATTTTTTGCATTATGTTAATTAAGTGAATCGCGAGTTGGCATATTGAGTTAAATCTATGTCCACTGATGGAAGTTTGTGCATTACACTTCTTCATTTTAATTCTTTTTTTCATTAAAGCGATTGCTTTACTAATGTGATTTTGTATTGTGAATATCAAAGCGTGATTGCTGGTTTTTGTTAGCTGATGCCCTCTTCATATCCCCCTCCAGTCCCTGACTGTTTCCCACCTTGTTGTTTTAGTGTAGCTCGTGAAGACTTGGAAGTGACTAAGGGACGCTAACTTTCCTCTGCCTAGTCCTCTAATTCGCCTCCAAGAACACTGGGATAATCTAGTTACATACCTAATTTATTTTTGCTGTTCATTAACACCTGATGATCCGAAATGGGCTTAAATGATGCTTTCAATTAATTTAGTTAAATCTAAAATTTTCATTTTTTTGAACGACCTGTCTATATCACTAATACTCAAATGGCAATAACCCATTAAAAATCCTTTTTTTGCCTTTTAGATAGTGAAAAATCGATACGACGGTACGTTGGGCAAGATGGATTTGAACTACAATCGCTCGCGAATGTCCTTTCGACCTTCCACACACACTTTGGAAGGTATTTCATCATCTGAAGCTGTTGATTGAGCCACCTCTCTTGGTCAATAACAAACGCAGTGCATTTCATCCTGATGTACATATGAATTAATTACATCTGGCCCCCCACC